CATTCTTTATAACAAAAGAAAGCAGTTTCTAGATCTTTTGTATCTCGTTAATGACTAGTTTGACACATCGCACCGCACAAAGTTATCGGATACAGTAAAACTCTGACAGACCAAAACCCTTTTTATCTCAAGGAAACATATAGAACCACAATGTAACGTTTCGTCTTTTAATACAAACTGAACGTGCAAACACTTTTCAGAGACACCTGGCACTTCTTATTTCAGAATGGAGTTGCTAGAGAACTCGGTTAGGATATAAGCTTCTGAGGAACTAATGGTAAACAAAGATCTGGTCAGACTTCCTTTACCAAGGAGTCATTTAGTTTACGCGTAGGTTGGTTTGTAACAGTCGGTTTGCGATAGTTTATACTGTAATAAAGAAAAAAAGTTTCCAAAAAATTTTCCTGTTTGATGTTATCTTACTGCCCTTAGTGTAGTGTTAATGTGAGATTATATTGTGACAAGGAAAAACAGACACCGTTTGTTATTTTCATTGTCAATGCGATTTAGATTTCTTTGTGTGCGGCCGGCGAACATTTGCTGGCGTCACCGTTAACATTTTACTTCATTAGTATAAAAAGTTACTTTGAAAAAGAATCAATCCCATGAAAAATAGGAAATTATTCCAAAAGTTGAAAGAGCTCATAGGACTCTGTAGTCTGTACAAATTTCAACTTCTTGTGTGTGATACGTAAGGAAATATCAAGCAAGAAAAAAAGCAAAATTCGGGGTAGCAAAAGTATTTCATAAGCGACACATTCCTTGCAATAACTTTGAAATTGACTCATAGCAGCCATAACTAATTCACAAACTAATCGACACGTATACTGAAAATAAACTACGCCTCACACAAGTTCGAGCATTATCAAAAGCAAAAAAAAACTACAGGACTAAACTAGCTTGCAACGGAAAGGCATGCTAACAAAAACAAAGTTCCACTCGCAATGGCAGTGATTCTTCAAAAGAGTTCTCCACCAAGTATGTTGGGGGCTTGTGTAGCTCGCTTGGCTTTTTAACGAACAGGTCCAAGACTCTGTTCGTTCTCCTTAGACAGCAGTTTATTCATCAAAAGCTTCTGACAACAACTCTACTACTCAACTAACTCTATTAGCTTACACAGTGAATTAGATAAGCAAATTGTAGACGTGTTTGGGTTAGCTGACAATGAGACCCTTCCATTGCATATCCTGTCGCTTAACTTGTGAACGATAGAATCAGTCTACACTGTCGCAATTAGCAAGTACTAAAGAGCCAATTGAATGCTAGCGGTAAGACTGCTCGCTAGGACCAATCGTACAAAACAGGAACTTCAGTGGAGGCAAAACTCAAGGTCAGCTATAATCCCCGAACATGCTTACTTCAAAGAACTACAACAAGCTTAACAAATCCTTTCGATAGGCGATACTTCTCAAAACTCAGGAACTAACCGTGTGGCCTATACATTGAATTTCCTTGGACTATGAACTGTTTATTAAGAGACTAGCGCGTGCTACAAAATAATCATTCGGATAGAAAAACCTTAAAAATACCAAAACTCCAAAACAGAACTAACAGCAACTACTTCATAACAAAATGCATCTATGTTCCATGAAAGCTTTTAAAAATACAAGGTTATAGAATGTCTTTCAAAGTTCATTGCAAACTGAGCTAAGCTCCAAAATCACTGTCCATTATTCAGTAAATTATGATGTTTGACAATGCAATGTGCTTACGCAATTTTCCCTACGTTAGAAAAGCTGTTTTTATCTTGTTTCACATTTTGATAAGGAGTCTGAGTTCCTCTTTCTTGTTTTGTAGGCTTGCCAGGGATTATTGTTTATGTGTCATTACCAGTGTCTGGGTTCTTTGTTTTTAACGCAAAGTAAGTCAGTGACAACTGATAGTATCAAAGAATGGCTCTCTAGAATAGTAATTATCTCCTCGTCATGTCTGGAAGTTACCTGTAACAAAAAAGAAATGGAATGTTAACGCATACAAGGGCAATATGAAAAAAAAGAAATAGAACGTGTACAGCTCAGCTTCTCTTAACATATTTTCATACTGGCTTGTTGAGTCTCTTAAAGGTCGCAACTAATTGTCTGAGGCTAATTTCACAAGAGTGTGCAATTGAGATAAATGCATTGTAAATAAACTGAAAGAAACGTGGTTTCACACTAGCCAATTTACATTGTGTTGTTCGATGATGTTTACACGCTTTTCTACTGCGAAATAAACCTTTGCATTTGAGTTTGCAAGTCAAGATTATCCCGAGTTTGACTGACGCGTGAAAAACAGTTTCATTTTTAAGCAGGTAAGGTGTAGACCCATATAAAGCCGGAATATGTAAAGAAACTCAGCGAGAATTTTTTCGCATCTTTGTGGCGATATTCTCTCACGGCCCGTCAACTGATTAGGCGTTGTGAAGAAAAAATACATTAGGAACAAAGGTTAAAGCCTGTCCGGTTACATCATTTCACATGTTACCTAGAGTTCTAATAAACAAGTCATAAAATAGGATTTA